AGCAGGAAGAGAAAAATTATACTTTGCCAAGCTCTGCTTTTGACAAAGAAATGCTTTATCACCATGCCTTGTGAGCTTGAGGGGCCAAGTCCCGTACATGAAAGATTCTCTGAAACTTCTCTGGTCTATAATTGATGCTGTCTGTGCCATACTACCTCATTTTTCTCTTCCTTTTTTATCCAAGACTCACCCAGATGCTTACTGTCAAATGCATCAGGACAAAATCACAGTTTGGCTCTGAAAACCAGTTTCCAGTCTGTGTGCTTTTCACTCTGCAGCTTATGAACTTCATAAGCCAAAAAGTAATTTTTAGTTTAAAGGTAGCTGGGGGGCGGTTCTTATTTTGTATGGCTCTAAATGGTAAATATTGTCTGTATACAATATTAATTATAAATCACTGACCTGGAAGTTGACTAACACTGAATGCATGTTATAAATTTTCTCATAGCTAAGAAAAAAAATGGTGCTATTTTAACCAGTATTTTAGACTTGTTTCACAGGGCATAATACATTTTGTGATAGAGGGTCTAAGATCCCCAAAGTTCTTATGCTTTTCTTTCTCATACTTAATTTTTAAACAGGTAGGCAATAAATATCTACTATGGGAACTACTCAAAAAAAGTTATACACATAGAAAATCTGTTCTCAAATTCTCTATCTGCTCTGATATTCTAATATCCTTGATTTTTAGCTAATGAACAGTTTAACATACTTATAAGAACATTTAATTATTCCTAAGTATGTAAAATTTAAAGTTAACTACATAAGATTTAATGTTATCACTTCTGAGTTGTAGAATCTGCTTCACTAAGTAGGAAAACAATCTTTTTAAGGAACAAGAAGTACAAAATATGTTCCAGTGTCAGTAGTTTTCTCGTATTTTTAGTAGTCATTAACCTTGATAAATTTCTATAATCTAGCACTGTCCAGCAGCAACTGAAATTGAAATAATGATAGCTCACAAAGATTAAGTGCAAAGTGTGGCAAGTCATCTTTTTAAAGACCTCTGCTTATGAAAACTTGTGAGATATCCATCAGACTTAATTTCACACACTAAAAGGCTCTAATTTCTCCAGAAATTCTAACAAATGGAAAACACAAAGCTGTATAGTGAATGACTAAATAGCAGATGGATGGATGGTTTGTAATGAATATGGAAGTGTTGCAAAATAATTTCTTAGAGGAACCCGCAAGGAGCCCTGTGTCATTTTATAGCAAGAGCAGGA